ATGTGTCAAATTACATCTTATAAACAAATATATTTTTATTATTACATTATATTGTGGGTGATATGCTGTATACTTCTTGCAAGAGAAATGAAATGTAGGTTTGCAGGATTTTTTAGGAACTTTTAGTCATAAGTTGATCAGTGTACAGTGGTGTCGCTACTTCTGCCCCTCTTTCTTGTTCTCTCTTGTTCCTTAGCAGGTGTAATAATTAAGCTGCTTGAATTAAGCTGCTGCTCTTTATGGTCCTAAAACTAAAGCCATCTCATGGCAGTTTTTCACTTTCTCCTGATAGTCTCAGCCTTTTGTGGAGTACCCCTACAATCAGTGCGCAGTGGTTGGAAATGGAGGAATTCTGAATCAGTCTCTCTGCGGAGCTGAAATAGATAAATCTGACTTCGTGTTTAGGTAAGATCTGTCAAATGGGTTTCTTTGAAATCCCAGATGAGTTGGATATTTGAAAGGAATAGGGTAAAGACACTCCATGTCCATTTTGACCTTTGAGCTGTGATGCTTAAGGCTACAGCTGATCTAGTGTGTTTCTTGAAATATTAAGTGGATCATGAGTTCCTCTGAATGTTGATATCAGAAGGGTAATAAAAATGTGCCACAGTCAATTTCCAGAAACCCTGCTTGAAATCATGGTGAAAGAGGATCTTCACTGTCAGACTTGTCAGAGCCTCCAGTGTATTAAGGATACCTTTCTTTCTTTCCTTTCTTTCCTTTCTTTCCTTTCTTTCCTTTCTTTCCTTCCTTTCTTTCTTTCTTTCTTTCTTTCTTTCTTTCTTTCTTTCTTTCTTTCTTTCTTTCTTCCTTCCTTCCTTCCTTCCTTCCTTCCTTCCTTCCTTTCTTTCTTTCTTTCTGTCTCTTTCTTTTTAAACAGAGCATTTCAAGTAAGTTTTGTTCTCAGATAATACTTGGAGCATGTTGACCTAGGCATTTTACAGCCACACAATATCATCGTTTATTTAGGTTTCTGGCTTGAAATATTTTTTAAAAATTGTGCAGCTTCTAAATTCTGGTCTTGTTACATGTTTATATCTCAGTTCAAGCAAGCTTGCAGAAACAGTAACAAAAAATGGTTTCCGTGTGTGTCTGTACTAACAAAGCAAGGGATAGAGCATCTCCACTTTCAGAATATATGGACAGGTGACTCATCCCTGTGAGGGTGGATTTCAGTTGAAATGCACCTTTTTTATAAAGTAAGTCAAAATTTGTTTCTTCCTATTTGGGAAGCACTGACTGCATACATCAGAAGAAATCCTTTGATCCTTATCGATTTAATGCTGCCCTTTTTAGCACATGAAAAAGAATTATAATTTTGAATCAGTAGCTCCCCCGACTTTAATCTCATTTAGAATTTTGTGCTGAAGGGAATGGCAGAACCACAGACCTGGCAGTCCAATCATTATTGAATATGTTCCTTGTGATTAATGTGAAAGTGGCCAGTACCTGCGTGATTTAGCCATTCTGTTGAAGTACTCAGTATGAAAAAGCCATAATGATGATAAATAATTCTTCTTGTAATAGACATTTTATAGACTGAAAAATTCCCAAAACATCTGTGGTGAGTGTTATGTCTAAACATCCATTTTACTTTATAGCAAATACAGGAAATACAAGGTTTTTGTTAGATTTAACAATCAGGGGAGAGGAAAAAAAAAAAAAGCCCTGAACAGCTACTTAATTTATACCTCTAAAACAAGCACATGTATTTCCAGATTCTACATTTGCTGATGCCAGGAATTTTTCTGAATACAGAGTTCCTTTTGATGTTGACCTTCCAACCTGAAAGGCCAAATGAAGGCTAGATGTGTTTGGTGGCATTAAAATCTATTTACTTTTTTAAGGCCAGATTTACTTTGGCCATGCATGTATTTCGTAGTTTATAAGCCCATCTGGAGACTACTTTCTTTAAAATTTTCCATTTCAAAAGGTCGAGAGCTGTCAGCTGCGTGTGTAAGAAATGGGAATTGGTGATGCATGGCTTTGCTGTACTGTGTGTGTACGGCACCTAACAGTTCCCCTAGGAGCCGCATCTGATACTATTGGGAAAATCACCTTTGAGTCTTCAAAAGAACGTGAGACTGTTCTAGAAGGTGGATTTGTTATAGGAAGCCCACTGATAAAGACATTTCTGTGGCCTATTATCGAAGATTTTCCCCAAGGTGCCACATTTAACCATGTTCTGATGTATTTTTTAAATCAGTGAGAGAAGTCCATGTTCTATATGGACTGTATTATCTGTATGTTTTATATCGCATAGAATAGAATCTTTCTGCTTCAGTCACATTACAGAACACCTCAGGTTTAAATAGCCTTCCTCACTGATGCTCCCTTTATATGGGCAGCTTTAAGGAAATGGTCTACTTGAAATTCTGTAAATGATACTTTGGGATCATAACCAACTCCCCGCCTCCTTTTTTTTTTTTTTTGTGGCAGGAATGTATTTAGCCCCAAATTATAATTCTCAATTTGTTTTCCAATTTAAAAACAAATTAGCACTCAAAAGGAGATGAGAACATCAGTAGGAAAACATCATTATAAGAACCATTAGGGTTTTATTTATTAACAGCATGATTTGGTGGGAAAGTCCATATGGGAATCAGGAAATTTTTTTGGTTTTTTTTGTATAGCCTTTGCTTCTGGCAGACTCTATAACCCTTAGTCACAATGCCTCCATTTTTAAATATCTGTAAATTGGTGATCATACTATTGTGGGACTATAATTAATATAAATAATAATTTTAATAAAAGGATCATGAATTCTTCAAAAGCTACACAAGGTGTAATTGTCATTTCTTGCTTTGTTACTTATAAAGATCTTAATCAAAATTGAAAGCCTTTCTTCAAATTCATACATTTCATGCAATGTTGAAATGCCAACCAAAAGTTCAGTACTTATTAAATGGTTTTAAATGAAAATCAGATGAATTCTGAGATCTCTTAAGAGCAATGATTTTTCTCCAATGAGAAAGATCTCATGTATATGTGTGAATGTGTGTGTATGTACTTTTTTTTTAGAAGTTATATTTTGAAAATAGTTTTTCTTTCAAATTTCAGGTGTAACATCCCCCCAACCACAGGGAATGTTAGCAAAGATGTTGGCAGTAAAACCAACCTGGTAACTTTAAATCCTAGTATCATACGACTAAGGTAAGTACCTCCAAATTACATTTCTGTTCAAGAACGTTTTTTCATTAACTCTTAGTCTGAGCATTAATCTTGGTGCTGAGAGTGACTCCCAGTACAGATGGAATGGCTTTGGGGGAAATATGTAAGAATATATTATTGGTAATTTAGGTGTTGGCTCATAAGAAGTATGACTTCCAATGTCATAGTTGCTAATCAAACGAGAACTTATTTTACCTCCTCATCTTTTTTTAACAGCAAAGTTCCTTTTTTCAGTGTTCTTTCAGAATTTTACTGCTATACTTTTATCTTGATAGCACTTTCTTGAAGAAAACTTAGTCTATTTAGAAGCTTTGGAGAGTAAGCCTTAGGAGAACCTGGCAAAAATCAAGTTTTCGGTTTGGGTAGTTTATCTCTGAAGGATAATTTCCATATTTTCTTTTCCGCACTGTAACTACTACAAAATGTCAGCTGTTTAATAAAAATCCCATTCATAGTTTTATTCTACAGTTTTCATCAAAAGTGACTAATAATTGTTATTAATAGTATGCACCCCTCAAATAGTTCTAGTATGTCTTAAGAGAATATAAAATATTGTTCCCATCTCCCCAGTGTTTATTTTCTAAACACACATAATCATAAACAGGATATTTACTGAGGTATTATTTAAATCAGACATCACAATCTGTGGAGGAAATTTTAAATGTGTGTGTGTACGCATGTAGACATTTTAGGTTTTCTAAATGAAACTGTTATTTTATAATAACATTTGTATAAGTTTACAGCTCAATGAATTCTTAAAAATGTATAGATATTTAAATATTGTCTTATGTTTGAGAAAACAGTTCAGCATTATGAATTTGGAAGGTGTTTCAGCATCAAAAAGTAACCCTAGGAAAAAATGACGTGAGTTGGAAGATAAAATAATGTAAAACAATGCATGCTGAGTGAAAGCATTGCCTCATAAGAAAGTAGGAAGCATAGATGTGCCGAGAGAGAGAAAGACCAGCCCCGATATGCACATGATGCTTGCTTAACGTGTCTTCTCTGAGTCTCCAGTTTATCTCAGTGATATAAATGGTTCTGCTTTTTGGCCAGTGGTGAATTCAGCCTCATGTCACCAAACCTGCTCATTTGAGTATTATTGTTAAAATTATGGTTTTTTAAAAATTTGGCAGATATGGGAACTTAAAGGAAAAGAAGGCAATGTTTCTGGAGGACATGGCCACCTATGGAGATGCATTCGTCCTTCTACCGGCATTCTCCTTCAGGGCCAACACCGGGGCCTCTTTTAAAGTGTACAGCACACTGAAGGAGTCTAAAGCAAGACAAAAAGTTTTATTTTTTCATCCCAAGTACCTGAAAAACCTAGCCCTTTTCTGGAGGACTAAAGGTGTGACCGAGTATCGCCTGTCCTCCGGCTTGATGATCACAAGTGTGGCGGTTGAACTGTGTGAGAGCGTGAAGCTGTATGGCTTTTGGCCCTTCTCTAAAACTGCAGAGAACACATCTGTCAGCCACCACTACTACGACAACCATTTACCTAAACGCGGTTTCCATGAGATGCCCAAAGAGTATAGCCAAATTCTCCAGCTCCACGTGAAAGGAATCCTCAAATTGCAGTTTAGCAAATGTGAAGTAGCCTAAGCAGAAGGTCTTAAAGTCGGAATAATTTTTATATAATGCAGTAGGTGAGTATCATGTTCCAAACACCAAAAGATGTGATTATAGGGAATAATAGGAAAAGTCCTGAAATTTGGTTGGATCAAAGCTCCCTGCTATGTTTGCAACCTCAGCATCTCATTTAATTGTTCTAATCATCAGTTTTTCTTCCTGTAAGATGGGGACCATGATATCTAACTCATATTAGGGAAATGTGATAATCTTTGAACACTCTTGGCAAGTATTTGGCATTAGGTAGGAACACAATGACTATTGCCTTGTTGATATTTGTAATAGCCATTTCCACCCTCACCAGACATAATAAAAGGCAGGCTGTCTCGAAGACCCTTTCTGGAGAGAACAGCTGAATTGCCAATATTCACTGGAGTTCTTTCTCCATCAGATCGTTTTATTGTCAGTAATATCTTTCTCACCTTTCTTCATGTCTTAAAGGGTGCATTTAAGAAAATTGTGGGTGATCTCTTAAACAAGAAACCCTTGGTTATTTAGGAATGAATTCTGTCTCTTTGTGTGCCTAATTGCATTCATTTGTGTCTTGAGCTGTGCTGACGTGGTGGTTAGATTAAGGCCAGTTCTTTTCCTCTTTTATCTACATTTTAAAGTCACTCTTTAAGTTCTAGTCACTTTCTGCCTCACGCCCAAGCCTTTTCCTCTCCCACTGACAGGATTTGCTTTACGAGTGGGAATAGTTACAATACTCAGTTATTCTTATCTGTTGTCTTGCCTCTGGGGCCCCTCATTCAATTGATTTGTTTTTAATGATTGAGCAGTGACTTCATGAGCCTTTCGCAGGCTCTGTGAGAGGGACATGAGATACTAAGTTCTGCAGGGGGACACAGATGTGTGTATTGTGAACTGTGATGTGCTGTTCTAATCGTTATCACAAAAGCTGAGTAAAGCACTACAAGGAACAGAGGCAAGAATCATCCAGCCAATTTCAATGGAATCAAACAGTAAAAGTTCTCAAACGGTATCAAAACACATTTTCTGTTTTGTTCCAAGAGGAAGAGTACAGATATCCTTTGGTAGAAAAATAACAGAGCTAAGGAGGTATGTTTTACAGAAGGGGAGACCTGCACAAATGACTAGGAGAAGAAAATACATATGTGAAAATGAACATTTACATCGTGCCAAGTACTATGCTGGGTATTTTATGTATGATATCATGTTTAATAAAGCAAACCTTTGACATTTATGTTCTTATCCTCACATAAGAAATATAGAAGAGACTCAAATAGGTAACTTTTGTAAGGTTAAATTATAAGAGTAGAGTTAGTATTCATTCTCCTGTCTGTCTGACCCTAAGCCCATGTGTTCACCCATGAAGGCATCCTCACACTCAAGATAATATACATACCCATTATCCCAAAATGTTTTCTTATGCTTCTTTCACTCAACATGGTAATACTAGGATTCACTCATACTGTTTTTGTGTCAATAGTTTATTCCTCTACTTACTGATATGGATGTACCACAATTTTGACCCCTTTACCCACTGATGTACATTTCAATTTTCTCCAGTATTTGGCTATTACAAATACAACTACCATGGACATTCATACGAAGTATTTGTGTGGACATATATTTTCATTTCTTTGGGGCCAGTATCTAGGGTTGGAATGGCTGGGTCACCTGGTCAATGTATGTCTCATACTGTTTAAAACTACCAAACTGTTTTCCAAAGTTGTAACATTTCATGTTTTCTATCAGTAGTCTATACAAGTTGTTAACGCACATCTTTGATAAAATTTTGTATGGGCAGTGTTTTTTAATTTTAGGCATTCTTTTGGATGTATGCTTGTTTCTCATGATTTTAATTTTGATTTCCCTTACGATTATCTTTTCATGTGTTTATTTGCTTCCTATCTATCTTCTTTGGTAAAGTGTCCATTCAAATATTTTGACCATTTTTGATTGGATTGCTTTATTATGGAGCTATAAGAGAATTTTGTATATTCTAGATACAAATCTTTTGTCAAAAGTACGACATTTTTCTAACAATTTTTAAATTTCACTAAAATCTAATTTATTGAACTTTTCAATTTTGTAGTTTGTACTTTTGTTTCAAATTTAAGAAATCTTTGCCAAATCCAAGGTCACTAAGATTTTCTCCAATGTTTTCTTCTAGGTTTATACTTTGACTCTTATATTTAGTCTTACGAGACACTTTTGAGTTAATTTTGTGTGTCTATTTACAGTGTGAAGTAAGAGTAATTGGATTTCATGACTTTTGTTTTTATAGTTGCTTAAGGTAATTAATATGAGACCTATTTTTGTTTTTAACATGGGAGTTTAGTGCTATAGATTTCCCTCCAAATACTTTAGCTGCTTTCCACAAATTTTGATATGTCATGTTATGTTCTTCATGCAGTTTAAAATACCTTCTGACTTTTTTCCCCCTTTAAAAAAACCTTTATTGAGATAAATTCATATACCACACAGTTTACCTATTTAAAGTGTATAATTCAATGGCTTTGAGTATATTCACAGAGTTGTATACACATTACTATAACCAATATTTTAAAATGTTCATCACTCCCCTCCCCCCCCACACACAAAAAAACCCTACACCTATTAGCAGTTACTCCCAATTTCCCCTCAGTCCCCCAGTCCTGGGTAATTTTTCCTTTGTACCAAAGTTTATTTAGAAGCATGTAATTTAGTTTCAGATATTTCTGAATTAACCAGATATATTATTGTAGATTACTTTAAATTTCAGTGTGGTCAATGGACGTGCTTTGTATGATTTTAATCCACCTGAATTTATTGAGACTTTTATTTTTATGGCCCAGAATATGGTCTTTCTTGGTAAGCGTTCTGTGTGCGCTTGAGAAGTATGTGCATTCTGATGTTGCTGAGTGGACTGTTCTAATGTCACTTAGATCAAATTGATTAATTTTATTGTTTCAGGCGTCTGTATATTTCCCGATTTTCTGTGTATTTGTCCTGTCAGTTATTGGGAGAAGAGTGTTAAATCCTTGACTATAATTATGGATTTGATTATGTCTTCTTGCACTTTTATCAACTTTTGCTTTGTGCATTTTGAAGCTCTGTTAGTAGGTGCTTGAATGTTTAGGATTGTTATGTTCTCTTGACGAATGACCTCATTATCATTCTGAAATTATCCTCTTTATCTCTAGTAATATTTTCTCTGACATTTACTTTCATGTTATTATAGCCACTCCAACTTTTTAAATATAATGTTAGCATATCTCTTTTAGCATGTCATTTTACTTTGAACTTATTTCTTTATATTTAAAGGGATTTTCTTAAAGATAGCAAATAGTTGGGTCTTGCTTTTTTATTTAATCTAAACATTTGCCTTTTACTTCATGTGTTTATATCATTTAGATTTGCTTTCACACATTTCACTTCTGCATATATGGTAAACCCAGCAATACTTCATTACATTTATTGCTTTCAACTGTCAATTACCTTTATAAATTTTTTTCTTAAAAATTTTTATACTTAACCCAGATATTTCCATTTTCTGTACTTTTTATATTTTTAGATCTGCATTTTCACTGGGTATAATTTCTCTGAAGGATTTCCCTTAATATTTCTTGTAGTGCTAGATGGCTCGATGATAAATACTTTGTTCTGTATATTTGAAAAAATGTTCATTTCACTTTCATGAAAAACATTTCTTTTTTTGTTGAATTGATAGTATATGTTCTCTCGGTACTTTAAAGATGTTTTTCCACTCTCTTCTGATTTGCATTGTTTCCAATGAGAAGTTTATTGCCAGTTTTACCTTTGTTCTCACGTATATAATGTATTTATTTTTCCCTCTGTTTCCTTTTGATTTTTTCTTTCTGTCACTAGTTTTAGGCACTTTTATTATTATGTGTGTTCATATAATTTTCTTCAAGTTTTTTATACTTTTTTTGTTTTTGGTTTTTGAGCATTTTGAATCTGTGGACATAAGGCTTTCATCAAATTTGGAAAGTTTGGGCCATTATTTTCAAAGGTTTTTCTTTCCTGTCTCCTCTCCAGTTTTCAGAATTTTCAGTTAACATAAACTAAGCCACTTGAATTTGCTCTGCAGGTCATTGATTCTCTATTAATCCTCTTCTTCTTCTTTTTGTTTTTGTGGTCTGTTTTTCATTTTGGGTAGTTTCTGTTTCTACATCTTCAATTTTACAAATACTTTCTTTTACAGTGTCTGATCTGGTGTTAATCCCGTCCAGTATGTTTTTCATTTTAAACATTGTAGAAGCTTTATTTGTGTCTTTTTATGCCTTCCATGTCTATATTTAGTAGGCTTGTTTATTTCTCTATCTTCTTCAGAATGTGGGATATACTTATAAACCTTACAGTGTCTCTTTCTACTATTTCTATCACCTGTGTAATTCTTTGATCTGTTTGTACTGATATCTTTTTCTTCTCAATCTGAGTTGTATTTTTCTGCTTCTTTGAATGTCTGGTGATTTTTTTATTGAATGCCAAATACCATAAATTTTACTTTCGTATGTGTTAAATATTCTGGTGTCCTATAACTAGCTTAAAATTTGTTCTGGGAAGAAATTAAGTTACCTGTAAAGGGTTTGTTCCTTTACAGGCTTACTTACAACCTTTGTTAGTTGGAATCATAGTAGCATTTATTCCAGGGCACATTTTTTTCTCCTACTGAGGCAATACCCTTATGAGGACCCTATTCAGTGTCCCATGAATTACACGATTTTCCTTTCTGTGTGGTGGGAACATGAATTATTCCTTTTTTTTTTAATTAATCCCTTTGGTAATTGATACATTTAAGTTTTATTTTGTCCTTTAAGAATGGGCAAAGAGGAATGTAATAACATTCACCATTTCTGTGAAAAAGACCGTTCCAATACAGAGGCAGAGGGGACTTTGTTAGCATATTCTCCAGAATGCTCTCTAGTGAGTGGATATTTGCAGATGACTTCAGAGCAGAACTTCTCCTGCACGTGTCTCTGCCATGGGCCTGTGACGTGGTGTTGCCCACAGGGCCTCTCCGTGTCTACAGCATGTCTCCTGGTTGTCT